GTTATAATAATTAGAAAGTAACTGAGAATGCAAGAAACGAAGAGATCTTGGACCCTCCAGCAATGTTCAAATTTTCTCGAACAACCTCGTTTACTCGAGATAAATATATAAAAGTAAGATATTCGAGATTATCACTATCTTTATGAGTGATCTTGTTATTTGGGGCGTTTCAGAGCCGAAATCGATGACCTCAACGAAGCCTTGACCATTTGCTGCACGACAGCGATGCTGGAGCTCGCGATGGTGTGGATGGCAATGATATGACTCCTGCTACTCTTCCTGACACTGATGAATTCAATGTAAACATCTCAGATGACGACAACGACGAAGAAGCAGAGAACACTTGGGAGGACAATGCTCAAAAAAGTGGAACCTTTAGCGAGCCTGTTGGAACCAATCCAAAAGTGGACAACTGTGAAACGCCGCCAATTATACGAGCTGTTTTCCTCTGAAGTACTCCCTGTCATGTTAGCTGATCAGACCCACGTCTATGAACAAGAAAAGCCCTCTGTTGCAGATGTCCTGCTTCCCTTTTGATAAACAGCGGAATTACTGATCGCTGCCTCGAAACTTGGCTAAAATTGAACATTCGACTGCCATCTTATGAACAGAGATCAATTTGAAGAGATACAGAAGCATCTTTACTTTATCGATAACTCTGCTGCCAACAAGACGAACAGGTTTTACAAGGCGTCGCCTACTCTATCTAAATAACCGATTTCAAGAGTTGTGTAGATCTGAGAGAGCTGTGTATCGACGTGTCAATGGTGCCATTCACAGGTCTTTTTTAGCAGTGTATTGGAACAAAGCGTCATCGATTTTGAGTCAAGCTCCTCAAGTTCAGCTTTTGCGCTGGCTACACTTGAAAGGTCAAAGTTCATGCCGGAGAAAATCCAAAAAGAATGCTGAGGACTTTTTTTGATAAAAGTACGTTGCCTCTTTACTGATAACTGATACTGATAATACATCGGTTTACCGCTGGCTCACAGCCTTCTCGGAAAAAGACACGTGGGACATCTTAGATCATCAGGAGCAAAAAATCGCAGATAGTTTTGTCATCCAATCGCCAAGCCTTTGGTCCTCGTTGATTATAACACGATGAAGGTATTTCTCAGCGACGTCTCTACCAGATAGCTGCTTATACTCTGTTTGTGAGGAAGACAGCCAAATGGTAAATCCAGTTGTTTTTTAATCTCTTAACCCAAACCCCTTGGTCAGTGATTAATTTCTGTATCGTGAAAAGGTTAAAAAATCAGAATCAATTTCTTCAAAAAGTGATTGTTAACGACTTGCTTTACAAACTTCAACAACATCTCGATCACTCTTCAATCTCGCAAGCGGAATCTGTTGTCTGATCCAAACGCAAAGGCTTAAAGACAGTTTTGCTCTGACTATTACAGATCAATCTCTGCAAAATTGCCTTAGTTTTCTTAGCCGGGTTTCTGGCAGAGCGAGTGCCAGGCACCCGGCTAGAACTAAGGCAATATGCTGCAAGTGCAACAAATTTTGTTGTTTAGATTGTTTCCAGACAACTCATAGTTAAGTAAGGTACCACACCATCCCCTAAGAGAAGTTACGCAAAGTAAACAAGTTTTTTCCTGATCGACCTAGAGGCAATATTATCTAGCACCATTATAGCTAATGATTTGAAATGGTTTGGAATATGTAGAAAATAGTAAAATAGTACATCTGGTCATTGGAAGACTAAGTCAAATAGTTCCGTTGATGTGAGGACAAATGAATTTTTCACAAATGCAAATAAAAGTTTTGTCGTAGCAGAGATTGGACGAATTCTAACATTAAGAACTGAAAAATTGTTCAAGTACAAGTGCAAAATTGCAGCACGGTACTTTCCCGGATTTTATGGCAAACTGCAGAGAAGCAATCACACAGCATTACCCAAAGTGACAAGATTCAC